CACTCCTAGCGCCTCCACGACAAGCAGCTCCAGTAGCACGACTCCTCAGGCGGGTACGCGACGCAAGCCACTCGCATGCCTGCTGTGGTGAGACAGGCCCGCGTTGTGAAACGAGACCCAGAGGAACGCCAGCAGACTCAGCACCCCCAGCTCTAGGGTCGACAACACCTGCTCCAGGGCCTCCAGCCCCAGTACCTCCAGAAGCAGCACCCCCAGAGCCGACATCTCCAGCTCCAGGAGCAGATGCGGTCCCGGCAGCTCCAGTACCTCCAGTACGAGCACCTCCAGGACCAGAGACACCAGCACTCCTAGCGCCTCCACGACAAGCAGCTCCAGCAGCACGACTCCTCAGGCGGGTACGCGACGCAAGCCAATCTCGTGCCTGCTGTGGTGAGACAGGCCCGCGTCGTGAAACGAGACCCAGAGGAACGCCAGCAGACTCAGCACCCCCATCTCCAGGGTCGACAGCACCAGCTCCAGGGCCTCCAGCCCCAGTACCTCCAAAAGCAGCACCCCCGGAACCGACACCTCCAGCTCCAGGAGCAGCACTAGTCCCGGCAGCTCCATTACCTCCAGTACGAGCACCTCCAAGACCAGAGACACCATCACTCCCAGCGCCTCCACGACAAGCAGCTCCAGCAGCACGACTCCGCAGGCGGGTACGCGACGCAAGCCACTCTCGTGCCTGCTGTGGTGAGATAGGCCGGCGTCGTGAAACGAGACCCAAAGGAACGCCAGCAAACTCAGCACCCCCAGGCTACGCACCCCCCGGCACCTCACGGACGGGCTCAGCACCCCCAGACTCCGCAGCCGCAGGCTCAGCACCCCCAGGCTCCGCACTCCCCAGCACCTCACGCGCAGGCTCAGCACCCTCAGAAGCAGCACCCCTAGCAGTACCTCCCGCAGCAGCACCTGAGTCGCTAGTGACCTCTACAGGCTCAGCCAAGGGGGGCGGGTCTACCTGAGACACACCTGAAGGAGCAGGACCCGAGGCGGGAGGGGGTCTACCGGAGGAGGACCTGGAGCGAGGAAAAGCGGCGGAGGAGGGAGAGGGGCAGTGCGGTAGGGGAAGAGACAGTAGAAAGGAACCGACTCGTCAAAGGTGACGTCCTGAGAGGGGAAGACACGGCGCGAGGTGGGGTGGTAAAACTGCCAGCCAGACGCGTCAGGGACAAAGCCAAGGAAGACACAGGGAATGGTGCGGGAGGAGAGCTTGTCCGCAGACGTATCACGGACAAGAGCACAAGCACCCCTGACCCGGAAATGCGACGCATCGCCAACCTCCCCTGTCCAACACAGTGTGGGCGAGGTCTCTGGTAAGGAGACACGGGGCCAGAGGTTGAGCTGCTGCGCGGCGTACCGGACCGCAAACAGCCACAAAAAATGGGGAGCCGCAGCATGAATAAAAAAGGTACGAGCGACCTCCATGACTAAGCCAATGCGGCGCTCAGCAACCCCATGTTGTTGTGGTGAGCCCGGAAGCGTGAACGACTGCTCGATGCCCTCCCCCTGACAGAAGGCCTGCAAGAGGTCGGAGGTGAACTCACCACCTCTGTCAGAGTGCAGACGCAGGACAGGAAGGTCCTTGCGGAACCTGCGGCGGAGCCGGAGACAAACTGCTCGGATCCAATGTATCAGGACAGCAGGGGCCTCACCCTTGGTGCGCAAGGGGAAGACCGTGGTGTACCGCGAGTAGTTGTCGACAACCAGCAGAAAGTATTGCTCACCGCCCTGTCCACGAACACGGGCTGGGCCCCACACGTCCAGGTGGAGGGTCTGCAGAGGAGCCTCTGTCGGGGGAAACGAGGAGGAGTGAGGAGCGGCGCGCTGCCACCCCTCTACGCAAGGAAGGCAGGGCGGCGCATGTGAGGCTGGGAGGGGAGGGAGAGACCTGGGAAGACCAGACACAAGGAGGCGACGGTGCATGCCACGTAGACGCGGCAAGGAGGGGTGACCCAGACGGTGGTGCCAGAGAAGAGTCTGGTGTGACAGGGAGCGACACTCACAAGGGGAGGCTACCTGACCTGACGCAGACACCTGACCAGTAACAGCTACCTAAGGAGGCGCAGTCGTCAGTGTGTAAAAACTCAACCCTGGCCGACGGGTAAACGTGGCCAGGTGGCGGCCGGTCTGGGAGCACGTACAGATCGCCACACGCTGTCCTCCAGGAGTAAAGGTGTCAACCCACTGGTCCTGGAGAACTGCGTTGCTCATCAAATTCATAGAGAACGAGGGGAGGCGGAAGCCTGCCAGTGAGCCAGACGGAACCGCCGAGCACGGAAGCACAGTGGTGGACCGTGCAAGAACTCGGCCCCCTGAGGGGTCAGCCAGAGAGAGTGCAACAGGTGCAGTGAGTGGTGTGAGTGCAGTATTGTCACGAAAGAAACAGCGGGAAGCACTGGAGTCAAGCGTGAAGGTGTGCAAGGCCTCAGCAAGCGCAGTACATGAGGAAGCAGACTCGCTAGCACCTAAGGCAGCAGCCTCACTAGCACCTAGAGCAACAACCTCTATACCGGGGTCGTACTGCACGCACAGGTGACAAGTACGCTCAGCACCACCAGGCAAAGCAGACATGGCAGTAAGGATCGCGTCATAGTCTAAAGCAAAGCCAGCAACGCCCGACCTAAGCAGCTCAAGCCAGGGGGGGGATCTCAGCCTCGTCGCCAAACTCTGTGCGCCAAGCGTTTGTCGAATAGGCGAAGCAGCGGGACTGTGCGTGACCAGGTGTCCCACAGGTCTCACCAGCTCGACGACCTGTGCGAATGACGTACGGGCAGCGACCCGGACTCGGAGACGGCCCACGCTGGTAAAGCCTCTCATGAAGCTGCCGGGGCGTAAGGGCCGGGCGCCGCCGTTGCTGCATCTGGCCACCGCCAGACACTCCGCACCAAACAGCGCCACAGTGTCCGCTACTACGGCCGCCACCACTCCCACTACTGCCACCACCGCTGTCACCACTCCCACCGGTATGTCAAAGGGAAGTCATGGCGGGCAAGCTAGGAGGAGCGCGACCTCTAGGGCAGTACGGAGTGAAGGCAGTAGCACGAGTAGCAGCAACAACAGTAAGAGCAGCAGGGCGGCGCGCGGACAGAGCAGGGCGGTGCGCGGCCACACCAGGGCAGCAGCAGGGAATAGCTCCTAGGGCAGAAGCACCTAGGGCCTTTTTTTTTAATAATTATTTAATTTTATTTAGGGTTCAGCAGGGCGCTGGCGCAGGGAAGGGCTCCAGCGCGCGCAGGGCAGGGCGCTGGCACAGGCTGCCGTAGGCGCGCGCGCAGGGCCGCAGCACGGGCGTAGGGCGGGGCGCAGGCGCAGGGCAGGGCGCAGGCGCAGGGTAGGGCGTTGGCGCAGGGCAGGGCGCTGGCGCAGGGCAGGGCGCTGGCGCAGGGCAGGGCGCTGGCGCAGGGCAGGGCGCTGGCGCAGGGCAGGGCGCTGGCGCTGGGCAGGGCGCTGGCACTGGGCAGGGCGCCGGCGCAGGGCAGGGCGCTGGCACAGGGTGACGCCAGGCAGGGCAGGGCAGGGCATGCGCTAGGCAGCGCGACGCGGGGCAAGGCAGGGCGTGCGCGGGGCAGTGCGACGCAGGGTAGTGGGGTAACGCGGTAACCACAGTCGGAAGCTAAGTATGGTGGGCCCGAAAAAAAAACGGTCCTGCGGACCTACTGCTCTGAAACCATGTCAACATAACAAGCAGGGATGTTGCATTGAATGAAATGTGGGTACAAGTACTAACCCTAACTTAGGGTTGTTTGTACCCCATATGGGCTACCCCACTATAGCCTACACAGAACTAACACATATATAGTTTGACACATAAACCCCACCATATCATCTAAATATAGTTCAAAACTGTAGCTAGATATACCACCTCTGTATGCCCTCATCAGTGACTTGTTCGATTTTTTATAGTTGGCATATCACGTTGTGCTTCAAGTTTATTTCTACAATAAAATTACTGCTTCTACATCATTGTATTTCCTAGTGAGTCAAATGCGCAATCTTTATGGTTCTTCTGGACCTTTAGGCTGAAGTGGTAGAGGTGATAGATTAGTCACCCAAGTAAGAAGCTAGGCTCTTATTATAATCCTGAAAAAAAATGGATTTGTTTGATCCATATGTTATGGAGAAACGTGTACCGTCCAAAATAAAACAGGCTCATCGAATTGCTCCACACCACAACCCAAATGGAATGCTGTGAATGCAATTGAGTCATTCAACAACGAGTTCTGGTCGGTTCGGCGTGATGAAGACGTGGGTTCACAATGCACATCATTGTCACATGCAGACGACGCGCTGACTTGCCATGGCCTATGCTCTAGCACTCCCTCTCCTCGCGTTTCCCATTCCATGTGCTCCGTTGTCGATTCGCGCGTTCGGATGTGCACATTGTGCGCCCGTGTTAGCAAGAGTGCCAAGCGCACTACCCTTCCTGCCCGGAAAATACGCGATGTGCCTCGAGTCGAGTGGCCGTTGGCCCTCGAGTGCCCCTCGAAATGGCGCATCGCACGCGGGCAGGCAGGCTGCGGTCGTGATGCTGCCCCGCCACGCGCGCCACTCGTCCCTTCCGCGGATATCATCTTCTTTTGCCCGCATGCGCTATTATCTTCTCTTCACGGTTCGCGGAGGGAGGAGGCGAGACGATGATAGGAGTTCTCGAGTTGAGTTCTGAGTAATCCCTCAGCGAGAGTCGCATATCCAATGTGCCGGAGGTGAGCGCGCCCTACCTGTTGTAGTGGATTCCGGTGTCCAGTGTCCCGGAATCTCGCATACCGCGAGGGAAGAGCGTTCTTCGAGGTTCTCAAGACGGTCGCATTCCGAAGGAGTGTTCTTTCATTTGAGGTTTTTTGAGGCTCCGAATTCGAGTGGAGCGCGTGGCGAGAAATCAAGCAACACTCCCTCCCCATTCTGTGAGAAGGTCGTACTACGCTGCACCTGCCGCCTGCTTCGTCATGCAGCCCAGCAGCAGCAGCAGCAGCAGCGGAGGCGCAGGCGTAGACGCTGGGATGCGCGGGGTGGAGAGGTGCGCGTTTGTGCTGGTGGAGGGCAGGGAGGACCGCGCGCATGTGGCGCTCCCGCAAGGGGAGAGCGCGCAGGCGCAGGGGGAGGCAGACGCGGCGGCGCAAGGGCGGAGGAACACAGTGGAAGTGGTGGCGGCGCTTGCGCTCATCACTCGCCTCTCCTCTGGTACTGTCGCAAGCCTCTCCTCTAGTACTGTCACAAGCCTCTCCTCTGGTACTGTCGCAAGCCTCTCCTCTGGTATCCTCTGGTACTGTCGCTAGCCTCTCTCTTACAGCTTCTGCTCCCGTTGTAGTCCCCCTTGCTGCTTCGCCCGCTCCTCACCTTCCCCTGCACCACTCTGTGCGGCCCTCTGCCCTTCTCCTGCTCACCTCCATTCCTCCGTCCCCTCTCCCTGCGCCCCTCCCTGCCTGTTTTTTACACTCCGCTTTACTCAACAGGCACGAACGGGGCAGCAGCGCAGTGGCAGCAGGAGCTACAGCAGGTGCTGCTGCAGCCGCACTGCTTGGCGCGCCCTCGGCGAGTGCTGCTGCTTGTGCCCACGGAGGCGCAGCAGCAGGCGGCGGCCAAGGCATGGGGCCGACTGCAGAGGCAGCAAGGACGACAGCAGGGAGGGCAGCATGGACTGGGCCAGCAGGGAGGGGGGCAGGGCAGGCAGCAGGAGGCAACAACAGGCGCTGCCAGTGGAGTGGTGGTGGGTGTGGAGGTGGTGGGGTCACGGCAGTGGGACCCGTCTCACCCTGCTGCGTTTGACTTGGCGCTGCTGACAGCCGTGTGCGCTCCACCCACCTCGCCTCCCTCCACACACGCCGTGCACTCCCTCTGGCCACCCGCAAGGTCCGTGAGTCGTGGGGGTTGCATGCATCACGTCCTGTCACATCGCATCGTATCGCACCGTCTCGCAGCATCATTCGTACCCACTTGAGATGGGTGGTAATGAAATGGACGCAGTGCCCCAAGTTGCTCTTTGGCACCGCCAACATCTATTGTCACTCGTAACGTTTTTCTCAAGTCATTAAAAAATTGCTTCCTCACACAGTAATTTTATATTCTGACTAAAGAAATCCCTCTCTGCAGCCACGGACATGTTCTCTCACTCATAATGCATGCCACATGCATTGTGCTTCGTGCCTAAATGCATCCGTACTTTTATCCCTCTTCTCCTTGCACGTCCAAACCCCAGAATAATGGCTCCTCATAGCATGATGTCATCATGTTCATGGGTCATGATGATTCATCATCATGCCACACATGGCCATGCACCCCCATGAGCCAATTCTTAAAAACCAATTGCTCACACACGCTGCCATGCATGCACCCCCATGAGCCAATGCAGGATCCGAGCTGCCCTAGCAGCCCCTGCACGCGCCCTTCTCATCCTGGGCCACGCATGCACGCTCTCAGCTGGCAGTGACACGTGGCGCCATGTCATTGGTGGCGCAAGGGCGCAGGGCAGGTTCTTAGACTTGGAGCAGTGTGATGCGGCCATGGGGAGGGCCATTCGAGCAAGGCGGGCGGCAGTGGATGACATGCGGTACATGCTGCAGCATGCCAGAGGCGAGGGGCGTGTGGCGGGCGAGGGGAGTGGTTCACATGGGTCCATGCACTGGCATGATCTTCCATGGACGGTATGAGGCTCCTGGCAACTGCCATGTTGCGTGGTTGTGCGCTCACATGGCTGTAGTAGCCCGTGGTCTGACATGGTTTGAAGGGTGCTTTATTTTCATTCCTAGTTAGGGGGAACACATGGATCATTCCCGGACCTTGGCCCACCCTCCTTCCCCGCGCTCCCAGCCGTACCTTCCCCACTCGTGCATCCCTGTGCCTCTTCTTCCTCTCTCACTTCTCATCCCCTTCCTGTTTCCCCCCCCACACCGTCTGCCACTCCCCTGCCGGCAGGGTTTATTTTCGCCGGAATTCGGGGAGGCCCTGCAGCGGCAGCAGTCAGTGGAGGTGGTGCTGCTGCTGTGGCGCATCCTGCAGGGCCGGCATGGCAGAAGGGACGCCAAGGGGGTTGCGTGCTGGGTGGAGGGGCGAGGGCAGCAGCAGCAGGACGAGGTGTCACGGGTGTTGGATGACATCGTGCATGTGGACGTGGTGGGCGATGTCTGTCTCATCTGGTCCACCGATGTGTGCCATGACAGGCACAAGCAGGTGAGGCGCGAGCAAGCAGGTGAGGCACAAGAGGGTGAGGCACAAGAGGGTGAGGCACAAGAGGGTGAGGCACAAGAGGGTGAGGCACAAGAGGGTGAGGCACAAGAGGGTGAGGCACAAGAGGGTGAGGCACAAGAGGGTGAGGCACAAGAGGGTGAGGCACAAGAGGGTGAGGTATTCTGGTTCAAGTTTGCATCAGTTCAGTGGCCTCGTTCACCTCTTCCATCGCATTCGAATGAGCTCCCGTTTTCCCATCCGGATCAGCACAGAGTGCCCGCCTGGGACCGACTCTCAGGCTGAGAGTCTCAGCATCATGCCACCTCTCTCCTTCTCCCTCCCCTTCCCCTGCAAGCAGGTGGTGCGGCTGTGGGCGCTCGTGCCGGAGAGCCAGTGCCAGCAGAGACTGCATCGCATCTGCATGCATCTCACCAGCTACTCGCCTGCCTACCTGCACTACTGCGCGCTGCACCAGTACCAGCCCTCGCCCCCCTTCCTGCGCGTGCCAGCCGTGGTGCAGCAGCCCAGCGTGCTGTGGTTTAAGCCCCCCTCAGGTGGGACTTGGCACATCCCCTATCCCATGCGCTCTGCTCCTGTCCAGTCAGGCAGAGGGCAGATTTTGTCTCGGGTTTGGTTCGAATTTCAATTGGTTCGTGACAGGCTTGTCCACTTTCTGCCTGTCATTGATTCACTTTTGACTGTGGTGTGATCAAAGGATTCTGACGTCTTGTTGTTGTGTGTCCTTCCCCAGTGGCTTTGTTTGTCTGTTTGACACATACCCCATGATGGCGGGAGGGAGGGACTGTGGGAACGAACGTAAGAGTGATAGGGAGGAGGCATAACGACAAAGGTTGAAGTTGAGCTTCCTTTCGTTCTCCCACCAAGCAGAGAGCACCAAAGCAGCAGCAGCAGCTGCAGCGCAAGTGGACGTGGTGACGCCGCCCAAGTTCATAGTGTTACAGCCGGCCATGGCGCTGAGTCTGCTGGGCGAGGGCGGTGGTGCTGCTGCGTGTGCGCTGAGCAGTGTGCCGTTTGAGGTGAACGCAGAGGAGAGTGCCGCCATCCTCTGCCCCTCCAGCCTTGTCGTCCACGGCCGATCCGGTGGGTCAACTGCGGTCAATCTGGGTCAAACAAGGTTGATGTCTAGTCACCCAGTCTTGAATGGTACCTTTGCTCGTAAGGTAGCTTTTGACTCGTGTCGTTCCTCCGCCCACTCGCATCATACCCTTGACTTGCATCATTCCCGCTCTGACTGCGACTACTTTCCTCATTCCGAACGAAATCTTTGGACTCAGACTTTTGAGGCGCCCCAAGAGTCATTCCCGCTCTGATTGTGATTACTTTCCTCATTCTGAACATAGCATCAAAGCAGGCATACCGCCATGGTGCCTTGGCATCCGTGTCAGCAAACACTCAACACCCCCTTCATTCATTCCCTTTAAACCAACACTCAATACTCTTTGCAAACATCCAAAACGGTCGCCTCAAAACATCGACGCCTTTTTGCTCTGCCCGACCCATAATGCACCCATCCATCCTCCCTCGCAGGCACCGGCAAGACCACAGTGATCATCCACCGGGCGTTGCGCCTCCATCGCCTCTTCTGCCACTCCATTATCCCTCCGTCCTCCTCCTCCTCCACTTCCCACCGGCCCTCCCCATGGGGGGATTTTGTTGGGGGGAGGCGACAGATCTGAAGGAGGATGGAGTGGGGGGCGTGGGTGGCAGAGTAGGCAGCAGAGTGGGGGCCATGCGGCAGGTGGTGGTGACACGAAGCCTGCAGCTGTGCGCCGCCATTCAGACAGAGATCACTCACGCCGCACGGTCAGTGTGCCTCACGGGTTGACCCACTTGCTGCTACAGGTGGCGTGTCAGAGTAGCGCGTGTGAGGCCGATTGCCTTGTGCAGATGCAACGGATTTGTAGTATGGTATGTTGACCTCGTGTGAGCGTGGCAGTAGTGTGCTTGTTTCACTGCGGAACATGGCTTGGCGGTGTGGTGAATACCTCATTACCAACAGCTCATTTGTACCAACAAACAAGCAACGCATGTGCCCACTCTTCTCTTCTTCCTCCCCCTCATTCCCAGCCTCCCTCCATGCATCATCCTGTTCCTATTGTCCCCCACACATCACGCTGCTGCTATCGTCCCACCCATGTCATGTCACCACCACCAGAGCGCTCTCTGCCCTGGACGCCATTCAGCCCGCCTCCGCGCTCCCAGAGGCAACACAGCAGCATGCATCTCCCGGTCCTTCTGCGAGCAGCAGCAACAGCAGAAGCAGCAGCAGCAGTGGTGCGCTGCTGATGCGAGAGGACCTGGAGAGGGCGCTTATGGGGGGCTTACCCACGTGCATAGCCGCCATCCCCCCCACCGCCTTCCCACTCGCCCTCACACTCTCCAAGCTGCTACGCCTGCTCGACGCCTCTGTCACTCACCCCTTCCTCCTCTCCACGCGCCGCCGCCGCAAGCGCGAGGCGGCAAGGCGGCGGCTCGTTCTGGCAGTGGCAATGAGCGGCCAGGGGCTGAGGGAGGCGGTGGGAGGAGGGGGAGATGGGGGCGGGCGTGGGGAGGGCGTGTGGAGAAGGAGAGGTGGGAGGCGAATAGCAGCGGTGCCCGGGGAAGAAGGGCACGAGGAGCGGGTGAGGGCCGGTCGTTGCGAGAGGGAGTGGGGAGCATGGGTGCGCAAGAGGGATGGTGCTTGGGTGGTTGGCAGGATGTGATGGGTACAAAGGAACGGGTTGAGGAGGAGGAGGAGGAGCAGGATGAGGAAGAGGAGGAGGAGGTTGAGGTGGATTATGAGCGGTTCAAGAGGCACTACTGGCCGGCCATGGACCAGCGGAGCACCAGAAAGGCAGGTGATGGGTGCTGCGTTCGTGTACCGGGAAATCACATCGCACATCAATGGGCCAGTCTTGCAGGCGATCCGGTCGCCCCTGGGGCATGTGGGCGAGGAGGAGTACGTGCGGGGCATGGTGGGCAGCACGCGCGCACTGAGCGCCATGGGGGAGAGGCAGAGGCGGGCGGTGTCATGCATCTTCCAGGCGTACGAGCGGAAGAAGAAGCAGCGCAAGGAGTACGATAGCGGCGACCCTCGTGGTGTATCTGCATCGGGAGATTCGCAGGAATGCGAGAGAGCCGAGAGCCCTGGTGGTCTGTGGAGGCCGAGTCATTGAGCCCTCCACAGGCCAAGTGTGCCTCCGCCCTCCACAAGCGAACCAGTTCCTACATACTCGCCTTCTGGTGCAGTCAAGCCCTCTGCTGCCTCGTCCTCT